CGCGCACGTACGCGCAAGCCGCTTCCAACGCAAGCGGCGCGCACCCACGCCCGCAGGCAGGCGCACGGGCAGCCTTCACGCGTGTCGGCATGCACGCTGCACGCCCACCCCGGCCCACGCGTGCAGCCCTGCACACCAGCCGCTCCATTCATCCACGCCCCTCTTGCACCCCCCGGTTGACAGGGCAGCGTAAAACGTGAGCGCGCACACGCACAAAGCCTTCCTCCTCTCACCACGCCCCGCACCCCCCCCAGAGCACCATCACCTCCCCAGCCCTGCCGTCCGGCCCCGGGCACGTCGACCCCCGCTGCTCCTGCCTTTGGGGACGGCCACTGGCACGGCGACAATGCCCCGCTCAGTTCACTCCTGCCCCCGCGCAGCCTCGCAGCCAGCTCTGCCTCCTCCGCACAGCGCGAATGGTTCCTTTCCACCCTCCCCCTCCCCAGCTCCAAGACAAACAACCCCAAACCTTCCACGCCACGGCTCCCAGCAGGGCTGATGCACGCAGCCCTCGTCCCACCGGTACCTATTTTGGCTTCCCCCATCCAGCTCCTGGTCACACTCCTCACATCTGCCTCACAGTCCAACCCTAAACAGCCTCCCTCTACCAGCACCCCGTAACACCCCCTTTTTAAATCTCTCCCCTCCCACCTCGGCTGCCCGTAGTTGCCTGCCTCCAACACTCACTCCAAACTGCCCCCGGATCCCAGCTCAGACGTAACGTGCTTTACTCTTCCCCAACCCTCCTTCTCGAGGCAATCAATCACACACCATCCACTGCTGCCTTCCTAAATCGGAAAGGACAGAAACCACAAAATTATCGTATTTATACAGCCGCTTGTTTCTCTGCGTGGCAGCGGTAGGAGACAGTAAGCTGGAAGGAAGGAGCTGTGCTGGAAGTAACTGCGATGTGAACTCCACAGAGCCCGAGAGCAGCGTACGGGAAATCTCTCTGCCCCACATAGTGTAGTGACACTTCTGTAAGTTATTCTCACTGTTACGCTTTGCCTACCTCAGCCGCCTGATGGATGAGTCTCCAAGGCACGTCTCTTGGATGGCACGGGAACATTTATTACACGGTTGTGGGTTTAAGGAACCCAGAGTGGTACATTCTAAAAGCCTCCCAAGCCTTACGCTAGCGACAGCGGCATCTGCACCGTTTCCCAATTGAGTTGCCACTGTATCGTCACACTCGAGGCAGAAGCTGTGGCCCCAGCACAATTTGGCTGCTGTCTCCAGCTGAACCAAGGGTAAAACGAATTACAGTATTATCCTAGACCGACCTGAAGCTGGGACTATAAAGAAAACCTTTGTGTGATTGCTTATATATAGTAAAACACACGCTGCAGTTGCAGTAAAAAATAACAAGGCAGCATTCAGAAAAGCTCTTTGGTTGATGAGGGCGTTACAGCCGCCCTGCATCTTCTCACAGTATGTTCTTTTGAAGCACCTTCAAGAAGCAATTTTGTCTTCGCCCAATCCCCTTCTAACTAAGAGAAACTTTTTGTCCTACCACCTTTTCTCTCCGCATCCTCCTTTTATAAATCAAATTTTCTGCATTTATCCTTTCCTTCCGACACCTTTTCTCACTCGCACCATTTGCCTTTTGAAATAATTGTGCTTTCTCAAGCTTTGTTCCCAGCGATGTACTAAGACTGCTTGATCTCCCTCTGGCTTTCATCTAGGGATGATATGCAGCCCGCAGCCCCAGCCCCTCGGGATCTGACCCTGTGTGATCTTCACCACAGGTAACGGTGAAGTCTCCTCAGGTGTTCAAGCTAGCATAACTTTGGGGCCTGACTTTGGACTTAATTACACCAATCTAACTGCACGTTAACTCCATTGGGTAATTTTAGAAGAATCCTACCTGCATTTTGATTGCAGTCCCAAGCGAGTGCAACGTTTCCACTCATCGGATAGATGAGATGAGCAGGAACACATTCTCTCTAAGAATCTCTAGGCTGATGATAACGAATTGGGATCGGCTGCACTCACTGCATTTGGACAGAGTAAGTAAAACCGATGCAACTGAAATTCCCAAAGGGTAATACCAAATTATCCCAGGCAAATCTCTCTCAAGTCGCACAGCTGTTGGTCTTGGGCCATAGCCTTTGCTATATACTAAGAAGGATATGTTATCTCCATGCTATTTTGGGTATTTTTGGGTCTTTAAGGAAAGCCTCTGTCCTAATGCCACAGCCTTAGTCTACTCCTCGCAGGATGAAGTCGTCTCTGGGATATGGCACTATAAATCATAATGCAGGATACAATTCCTGAAAGTCCCATCATCATCATCAACCTCTTGTAGAATGCTTCAAAGATAAAGATATTTCAGTCTCATTTGTAAATATTGATGTTTCTTCCTTCCACTTCAGTGACAGGGCCCTGGGCCAGGGCTCAGCGTGCTCATGTGGTTCAGGACAAAAGCCAATAAAAAAAAAAATTACTGCTACCCATGCGAGAAGCAATGCTTCTGTACTGTCTGAGAGACAAGTGCCAAATGAAGCAGATAAGTGATTACAGCGGAAAGAACATTTCCCTCTGGCAGCCTATCTCCTTAATTCCAAAGTAACAATGCTGGAGCTAAGGTTTAACGAAACGGTTGAGCTAATCCCTGCTGTCTGCAGGTGACTGCCTGCCTGCTCCATCGCAGGCCCTTGTTTGACACCTTGTTGAGCTATTTCAGCTCACTGAAGCAGCAGGAAAGTATTCACCTTTTTAGGAGCGCGTAACTGGAAAGCAGCAGTTTGGTGCAATGAATCCTGAGTGCAGTTTCGTCTCATACCTATGCTAGTGTTACAGTTAGCACCTACTGAAAAAAGCAGCCCCACTTCACCTCCCTTCCAGGTGTGCCTTCCTGTCTCCTTCTTTGTACAGCATTCCTGCTTTTGGAGCGTGAACTTTCTGCAAGTTAGCTTTCTGAACTGGGTCACTGCTGGACCAGGCAAGAGCCAGTGCTGGCATCGGGAAAGTGGAAGGAACTCCCAGCCTGGAAGAAGAAGGAGGACAAGATCAGGATGGCTCCCCTTTTGCCCAGACTGCCATTAGCTCAGCCTTAGCTGCAAAATGAAGCCACGCTCTGACCCCAGTGGCACTTGAGAACTAGGTACATTAGCCCTTTTTCTTCAAGGGAAATACTGAAGTTCGTGGGGTAAACTCAGTTCTGCAGGGCCCAAGACAATCCTGTCCTTGACAGAGTTGCACGTGACAACTGACCAAACTGTTTTAACCACAGTATTAGGCAGATACATTTCATGTTCTCTCCCTCTCCCCTTAAGGTGTTCAGCCTTCATCTTCACCTTCTACCCAGCTCTACTTTTAGGGAAGAAGCAGGGCATTACCTCTTTTGCCTATCACCCCTGCTCCCTCGTGCCTCTCCCCAGTTTCTTTTTGTCCTCAAGTTTCTGATGAAAAAAGAACCCCCTCACTTAGCTGGGTGTTCTTCAGAGACGGGCCTGTTACTACTCCCTTTCCTAACCACAACATAGTCACTCTGCTCTTTGAATTGAGTAACACTGAGCAAAATGGTGGCCAGTCCCTGACATAGAGTAAGCCTGGGTCCAGGCCTGTGAGCAGGGCAAGATCTGTGCTAGTTAATGCTTGCTTGGGAAAAGACTTACTAAAGAACTACAACAAATGATGTGCTGCTATCTTCAAGCTACAGCCTAAGCTCTGCTAATGCCATGATTTGCCTGTGGTATCAGTAGGTAGAAATGCCTGTTGCTGTGACTTTGCAGTCATGTCACACTGTAAACAGTAACACCTGCAGGTAAAGAAAGTGGAAAAATCTGAGCCTAAGAAGGATCTTCTGTATTCTGTCTGACCTCCCCCCCCTTGCTACTTGGCTTGAATACTTGCACTATAAATTATTACTCTGTGCTACTCAACACAAACTTACTTATATTGCAAGCCACCCCCATGCTGGAGGGCACAAAAACTACCCACTACACTTTTAAAGAAACACTTCCACTCTGAAGGAAGAAAGATCAGGCCATGGTACATAGACAAGAAAAAAAAAAAACCAGCCTGCAAAAACTGTCCCCCAGGGCTCAAAAAGGTGAGAAGTGATTTATGTGCCCAAAACAAACCACTTAAGCCAATAAAATTTACAAAACCCAAAATAGTTTTATTTACTTTTCAGATTTCTGCCTCCATGAGACATTTTGCAAACATGCTAAGGCTACAAAATGTCCGAGTTGACAAAGACATGCAACGCTGACCATTCAATAAGTCACAGCTATTATAGGAGCGACTGCGCCCACCCGGGCCACAGGTCCCGTAAAACAGGGATGGTGTACAGTGATCATGGCAACGTACCACGCAGGACCTAGTAACCTGAGGTAGGTCTTTTTACAGTAAGAAAAATATGTCCTACACCAGTGTTACATCCCGATCAACAGGAACCTGTTTAAAGTTCCAGAAGAGGTGGGGTGAGGGACTGTTTCCTTAACAAGTGTGCAATAAAGAAACACGAAATATTGATGTTGTTTAACCCTAATATAAGTGAGCAGAACAAAGAGTTAGTGTTACCCATGCCAATGAAAGCCAACCTAAACCTCTGAGGAGTGTTAGCAGCTTCAATATAAAGGAGTCAGTCAGCTGAAGCAACTCTGAAAAGGCTTTCCTGCTAGAGTACAGGGTATGATTTGAACCTTATGATTAATTTGTTACAGATCATTCCATGAACAGTTAGATTTTGGTTGTGCTAGATCAGCGAAGCAGGAACAGCTTGGGCTTGCTTGCATTGAAGTAAACCCTGCTGATACAGTAAGAAATACTGTATCAGGACACTGAGAAAATATGAGGCCTTAATGTGACCCAGAAGTGGTTCTCCACTCAGGAGATCACTAGAAACCCTGCTTTGGGAAAGCATCATGGGAAGCAGCAGCCGCTGCCATGGTGAACATTAGCAATGCTCCAAATAGCTTTGATAAATTACAATGCAATAGAGTTACACCACAGAGCTCTTCTCCCCTGCGCTAGACAACAAAGATGTGACAATAAAGGACACTATTGCAAAGCTTCACTTCCACTCAGACACGCAGAAAATCCGGCACTAGGAAAAGACCAACTGTAAAAGACAAAATGGTGTCTGATACAGTCCAATAACAAAGCCAGATCTCTGGTACCGTAAACTGTACAAAAATGATAGAAAAGAATATGCACTGTTATTAATACAGTGCTTATTTTAATATAAAATAAACAGCTTACATTTCCACTGTAAATATAGGCTATATACAGAATTATGTATAGATATAGCTACATGTATAAAGCTTCATTATAGGCCTCTGATACATTTATAACTATGGCTCCCTGAGCCATTTGTAGAGTGCATTTAATAACAAAGAATTAGTAATATGATTATGGAATAAATACAATAATAAAAACATGAATTCTTCTGACACGGTTTTAAAAATCTCTCTGGCTCGACACATTGTGCTAAAAATTAAAAGATGAAAAGGCAATAAACTGCTTGAAGGAGGAGGAGGAGGAGGAAGAAGAGCTGGCCTGCCACAGGCAGGGAGTGTAGCTCTCCAAAATTAAAGTGACTTTGCCCTGAATTTTAGCCCTTGACAGCAACCTTGTTCTCCGCAGCAGCAAACATAGCATAGAAGCGCGAGTTCTCATTGGCCAGAAGGGCAGACGGCGTGTCGAATTCCACTACCTAAAAGCAAACAAGGCAGGTAAAGTATGTCAGTAAAATCCAGCAGAAAATGGGATTCCCACCCCTTGGACTTGTGACACAGTAGTAAAGCTGCCAAAACAAGGCAGTAATCTTTAGATGAGACAAGAGGCGGTGAAAGTATGTGCTTTTATACATAGATACTGTAACCTGGGATGCTTCAAACTAGGTCAGACAAACACCGGACCTACCCATCAGGAAGCAACCTCTGGTGGCTCTGGCAAACAGAGGCAGACACTATGGGTTTTTGCCTTCTCTACCTTTAAGAGCCTTGCCAAATGTTCTTACATTTGATTTAACTGTTTATGGCTCCCCACATGGAAGCCTGAAAAGTGGGTAAAGTATCTCTCATATGCCTGTTGTATAGCACAGGGCTTCATGAAAGTAATGGGAAACTACCACTGAGCCCCAGCAGAGATGCTTCTGTTATTACCCATCTCAGAATTAACCTACAAAGGGAGTTTTAAAAACACTTCTAAAAGACAGCCTGTTACTCTATGGTACTTTCTGGGAGTGTGAAAGAAATTTTGCCCTCTTTGATCTTGTCACGGTCAGGCAATAACTGATTCTACTGGAGTATTATTACCAAGGATGTGAATGAACACAGAGGATTTTCTACCCTGCAATACTAGCTGTTCCTTCAGTTCAGCCTGCACATATGGCACCACCAGACTGCGATAGGAACTGCAGCCACAAAAGTCTTTCTGCTTACCTGTCCTTGTGTTAGCACCATGATCCGATCAGAGCCTAGTACCGTATGCAGGCGATGAGCAATCGTTAACATAGTGCAGTCTGCAAATGCCTCTCTGATAGTCTCCTGAATCAGTAAGTCTGTCTCTGTGTCCATAGCAGCTGTTGCTTCATCCAGTATCAAAATCTGAAAGCAGCACATAATCCTGGCTGTTACCCATAGTAACACTTTCCCTCCCTGAACATAAAATATGTAGAGCGGGCAGAATTACCATGACCAAGAGTTGTCACAACTGGCAATCATTATGGAGCTGTGGTCACAAAGGTAGTTTTTACAAGCACCCTTTCAGTTTTCTTTATGTAATCGCCTTCAACAAAGTTACCTTATGGATCACACTTGCATTTTATGGTCACATCCTAGAGCCACAACATGATTGGGTTCTGACCTGGGCCTCAAGTTTCCACTACTTTCAGTTTTACATTCAGCAGCTAACTCTCAAATACAAATTTTACTGGTAAATTAATCTGACACATCTTTGGTGGTGACAGTTCCTTCTGCAATGAGTCAATACTGACTAGGCTTACCACCTTTCTTATGCTGTAAAGAATTACCCTTCCTCTCAGACTCAGACAGAAACTGATTTGGAGTGGTGTCTTGTCAAAGCTAAATTAGACTTGGTTTGTGCAGGTACTGCAGAGAGCAGTAACTTCTGATGAGTAGTCTTGGCTTTAAAACAGATGCAGAGGGAACCTTAAAACATGGTGCGCAATGTTTAAGGAAAAAGGAAGTTAAAATCAGAACCCTGGTCAATCTCAATCCAAATGTCCTTTCTCACTGTAATTACTATTTGTCTTCCATTCCTGCAAAACCCTTAACTTCACTGGCACAGCATGGTCCCAAATTCCACTTAGAGACGACATTTTAGTGGAACACCATGTAGAAGGAAAGTACTTGGCTGACATTTACAAAAAGGTGGAAAAAGGACAGAATCTGATGCTCACCAATAACAGGACACTCTGAGTAAATGATTAGGCCAATCTGACACACTATTACTAACACTAACAAGCAGTACCTTTCTGCAGCTGGCTGCAGATGCCTTTATAGTTGTTCTAACCCTACACCATCTGTGGGTTGCAATAACTGTTGGTGTGATTCCTCTGACAGATAGAATGAATCTGGCACAAAAAAGGCTTGCTCAATGCTATCAGTTTGCTATCTCCAGCTATTTCTCTCATATCACTGTGCTCACCTTACAACGACGCAGTAGAGCTCTAGCTATGCACAGTAACTGTCTCTCTCCAACTGAAAAGTTTTCCCCATTTTCCATCACTTCTGAGTCAAGTTTCATAGGCAGCTGGGCAACCTGTGTGGGAAAGAAGAGGTAAAGATCTTAGAGCATTGCACAGACTTTTTGTATCTCCATGGCATGAGACAAACAGTTGCTCCTCCTGCAAATCTGATTTTGCCCATGTTCCAAAATATCTGTCACACTTTGCTCACCATCTCTCCCTCTCTGTTGGGGAAGTTAGTAACAAGCAGTTAATGCTAAAACAACAATATGACATCAGACCTGCTCAGTCTGGTTGAAATGCCCACGACTCAGTGATAGCTCCTGAGAACACTAGTTGTTAAGCTAGAAGAGCTATATCCTCTCAGTAGGCAACTTTAGAATGACTTAAGTACAAAATATTTGATTTCTAGAAAAAAGTGTGCCACGTACAAAATCATATCACCATGAATACAGATCTCCTGACAGTCTTTCTCACCAAGAGAAAAGAGTGAAGCTAGTCCCTGCAGGAATTCCTGCAGCGTACGTACTATAGCCACACATGCAGCCTCATGCCACCTGACTCACAAGAAAAGAAGAATTGGAAATGTCATGGCAGTGAGACTTGCTGCAGAGGGCCTCGCAAAGGGCAGATTTTAAGTTCAGTATAAATGTGCATGTGTGGCATTTACACTCACAAATGTAAGTGTAGAATGCACACCTAAGGCACATATAGAAAAATATCACGTGAAATATTGTAACACCCTAGGAGTCCCTGTGATGAAGCAACACTCTGCTATGCTATATACTAAAAAAGTAAACATCCAAAATATGGCACGTTCTCCAAAAATTCAGTCTCATTACTAGAAATAAAGCATAGCCAATAGGGGAAAAAACTTGCAAAGAAAAAGCTTTATCTAAAGGTCTCTGAAGCAGCTACTAACAGAACATGTAGGTTTGAAAGCCAAAACATAAACACGTATCTCATAGGGCACATAATACTTACACACTCCTTCATGTGAGTCCTTTCCAAAGCATCCCAGATTTGTTCCTCGCTGTACTGATTGAAAGGATCCAAGTTTGATCTGGAAGGGGAAGCAGAAAACATAACCAGAATTTTTATTCAGCAATGAACAGCAAAACAGCAGTGTACTAATTCATCCGGATGGATGATTCCCATCTAGCCTTCCACTAACAGAATTTCCTTGCCAAGGAAATCAGATGCTCCCAGCACACTAGGGTTAGAGTAGCCGAAGAACAAAAGAGTAGAGATGGAAGACAAAGATACAAAAACTTCAAGCAAATCTAAACAGAAAGCAAGACTTTCATAGAGGATGATCACATCCAGTTCTGCATTGGGCCAGCTAAAATCATTTAGCTGTGCTTTTTTTGTTTCAAAAACAGAGAACAGAAGCTAGGATGCCCGAGAACTAACATCTCACCAGGCACCTATTTGAGTTCAAGTATAAGGTGGTAGCCTTCTTTTTCCTTCTTGCCTTCTTACGGTCTCACTAACCTCACAGTGCCACTGAATAGCACAGGTTCCTGAGGAATTATTGAGAGTTTGCTGCGAAGATCTGCCAAACCAATGTCATTTATTTTCACGCCATCAATTTTAATGCAGCCTCCAGACAGTTCAACCAGACGAAAGAGTGCCATTCCAAGGGAAGACTTCCCTAAAAATGAGACAGGAAAAACAATACTAGTGTTTCTACAGTCATAGCAGCTTTGAGATAAGAAAGCATTTTAAAAGCTGTCCACGTGTAAGAAAAGGGTTTTAAAATACCACGAAGTCCCGGCAAACAATGCTGGTAAATGCTGGGGTTCAGCATTTAAACTCCTAAATTGTAGGGGCAGCTCCTAATCTCTTCTCACAGAAGCCACCCCCTGCAGTGGCACCCCACCCCTGCTACCAAAATCTTGCCACGTAAACCAAATACAGCAATATTAATTGCTTATTTAGAAACTACATCTTGGAGCTGGTTTAAGTCATCTCACAAACAGGGGTTTTGATTCTTCACATTACAAACTTCTGAGATAGCTTAGAGCCAAACCTGGCTGCAGCATCAGTACAGAAAACTTTCAAGAGAGTCAAATAAGCTGCAAGGAATATGTAGGTAGCATTCTGTGCTGGTAAGTGGCCTGGGGTGTTAAACATTATGAGCATACTGGCTCAGGCATAGTAGGATATCCCTCTACTTTAAATGAAAAGTTTTTCCATTATTCTTTACAGGGATCCTCCTTATGTATGCACATGAACAGAATCCACCACTGACAGACTGCTGGACCACTCCTATGCAATTAACAATTTATTCAAACACAGAGAAGACAGAGGAGAATCAATATGACTGCCCCACTCTATTCCATTCCCATTCCGTAAAAGTAGTAATTTAACTCTCCTTAGTGTTTTTCCTTACCTGAGCCTGTCCTTCCCACAATGCCAATCTTTTCCTTCGGTTTGATAATAAAGGACACTTTTTTAAGTACTAGAGGAAGGTTCTCTCGGTACCGCATCTCTGCATTTTCAAAAACAACTTCACCTTCCTGTGGCCAGTCCAGAGGAGGAGTTTTATTCTTAATTCGAGCAGGAGCTTCCAGGGAAAGTGTCTTTAAAACAAAACCAGAAGTTCAGTTTCCAGTAAACAAAACACCAGAAAGGAAAACTATAGCAGTTGCAGCTTTCAGCGTGAGTTCTTCCCTGCAGACTTGGCCCATATCAGTTTATGGCAGTTTTATGATGAGCTGTGTGGCTGGATGCGGGCCCAGTGGTACAGAAGTTTGCTGTATTACATTGACCACACTGCTATTCCCCTCCTGTTGCCTCAATAATGACAGTGGTCCTTCTAGACAACAATGTTTTTCATCAATGGAATTCAAAATGTATTTTAGGCCTATTATTTATGAGCACAATCTATTGAGTTTTGTGGCACTCCAAAGACTGGATGCTTCTGGATACAAAATCTGTATTCTGTGTCTCATTTGCTATGCCATGCCAAAGTCACCTCTGTTGATGCTGACACAGAAGAGAACATCCACGTGACCCACTGTACAAATGCTACCCTCCTCCTTCTCTTCCTCATTCTCCCCTGTTCTATTAAATGACTAAGTCGGGCCCCTTCCAGCTTGCTCACTTTTGCTATTTTACTCTGCCCCCTCATTAAGCAGTTCACAGATTAAACAGAAGAGCAGAACCTCTGAAAACCAAACATGTGCCTTTATAGCACATTTAGAACAAAGCCAAGGTCACTTTTCCATATTTGGCACAAGCAGCCTCAGAGAATGGCAGAAATCCTGTCGTGGGCTTCATCTCATGTAACTTTAAACACGTACAAAGTAAAAATCTCCAACTGAACCAGGCCCCGTCAACTCCTTTATAGTCACTACAAAGAAGATAGCATTTCTGGAGTGTGATTTTTCTCAATCTAATACAAACACTTAGAATAGATAATAAATTGTCTTCCGGAGATAGCCATTTCCTACATTGACCCTAGAGAGATCCCACAGGGACTACGTCAGTTATGGACATCTGCAACATCTGGTTAGAGGCAGATTAATTGTACCCCAAGGGTTTGAGAAAAACAGCAGTCTTCTACAATAGTACTCTGGTTCTTTGAGCTTGGTGCTCGTAACAGCAACCTCAGACCCACACTGAAAGAAGACAAGCCTGGGACTTGGTAAGGCACAGAACCTGCATGGTGCTTCACTGCTCACCCACCCCTTCACTTTAGATTCAAACTAGGTTTACAGTTTCATAATAAAATGGCTGTCTAGAGATCCAAATAAGAAAAATCACATAAAGCATTGCTTAACAGTGATATAAAATGATAGACAGTAACTAAAAAAAAAAACCAACAAAAAAACCCCACAAACCAACAGCCTACAACTATAGGTTTTGCCACTGAAGGCCTAACAGTGATAAACCCATCTCAGCCCAGTGAGAGATACCAGGCAGTATGTGGCACACAGTTCTCAGTTCTCAGCTTGTGTACGGTCACCAAGTCTTCCATACACAGAAATCTTCTACTTAGATGCCACAAGAGGACTGGGGGAGTGGGCAGTTTTAATTTTTTTTTTTTCTCTTCAGTATTAAATCCACAGGCTAAAAAAAGTTCTACAAATATCAACTACTACATAGCCCAGATTTACCAAATAGATATATATCTCCCCCTGAAGTTAGAGGGAATGTGTATTATGTATTAAGTAAAAAAGCCTTTCACCTCAAAGACCAGACCCAGTAAAAGGCTTTCTCCCGGCTACATCTTCCCCACTGACCTACACGCAGTTCTGCATACACAAATCCTAGTTATGAAGAAAGGGTTACAGATAATCAGAGCAGCTTGCTAAGTATTTAGCCTGGCACATTTCTCACGTTTAGCCTAGCACATTTCTCATGTTTGCAATGAGAGCAATGTCTTGACTTTTTAAGCATATAGAAATATGTTATATAAGATAGCTGTGGAAAAAGAAGTAGACTTATTAGGATGAAGCAGAATTACATGTAGATAAAATAACAAAGAGTTATCTGTGTTTAAATGAAGGAGTTCTATTAGGTTTGGAACGAAGGATGCCAGAACACCATCCTTTTACTGTAAAATATTGAATTCCCAGTTACCCCTTTCACACACTCCGCCCTTTACTGAGAATGTCAGCAAACTTTCAGTGATGCCAGGCAAGTGATGCCTGTAAGCTTAGTTACCTACCAGCTCGTGCCATTCATCCTGCCAATGCCTATATATACACATAGATTCACAAATTCATTCTGCAGTATTACAGTACATGCATTAATGTGTTTACAAGAGTGGAAACATACATTCTGTACTAAGGCAGACTATGGCTGACTTTCTCTTCTCTTATGCCAGCAACATAGCAAGCAACAAGAAATTTTAAAACAGGCAGTTGAATATATTATTGTCCTACCTTGATATAGTGATCAATCCTCTCCACTGAGGTGAAGCGAGCTTCTGTCTCTGAAGCAAGTCTGACTGTAAACTGGAATAACCCTGTTAACTGGAGTGATGGAAGAAAACGAAGACAGATTTAGAGAGCTGTGATTTACTACTGAATTAAGAGATGAACCTAATGGATAGTGTGGCCAGCAGGACTAGGGAAGTGATCATCCCCCTGTACTTGGCACTGGTGAGACCACACCTCAAATACTGTGTTCAGCTTTGGGCCCCTCACTACATGAAAGACATTGAGGTGCTGGAGTGTGTCCAGAGAAGGGCAACGAAGCTGGTGAAGGGTCTAAAGCACAAGTCTTATGAGGAGCGGCTGAGGGAACTGGGACTGTTTAGCCTGGAGAAAAGGAGGCTGAGGGGAGACCTTATCGCTCTCTACAACTACCTGAAAGGAGGTTGTAGCGAGGTGGGTGTCGGTCTCTTCTCCCAAGTAACAAGTGATAGGACGAGAGGAAATGGCCTCAAGTTGCGCCAGGGGAGGTTTAGATTGGATATTAGGAAACATTTCTTCACCGAAAGGGTTGTCAAGCATTGGACCAGGCTGCCCAGGGAAGTGGTGGAGTCCCCATCCCTGGAGGTATTTAAAAGACGTGTAGATGAGGCGCTTAGGGACATGGTTTAGTGGGCATGGTGGTGTTGGGTCGATGGTTGGACTCGATGATCTTAGAGGTCTTTTCCAACCTCAATGATTCTATGATTCTATGATTCTATGAATAAAGACATGGTTTAGTGGAGGACTTGGCAGCGTTAGGTTAACGGTTGGACTCAATGATCTTAAGGTCTTTTCCAACCTAAATGATTCTATGATTCTATGATATTTGACATAAGTACTCTTGGCATTGGGCATCACATAGCTAAGGTGCCCAAGGCAAGTTAATTTTAGTTAAGTTAATTTTAAAATAACCATAATTTATTAATCACTTGAAAAGCCAGGTTAGAAAGGTTTCCCACAAGCAACAGCTTTAAACATTAGCCATTTAAGTTTTGTAATTTCACCTTACGACCACCAGGAGGCAGAAAAGGCCAAACAACAGCTCTAACAGCAAGTATTCCAAGCCCTGAAGTCTATCTAACCCGCACAGCTGCAACACAGGATGCTGTACGCTGTGGAAACATACTGCAGGCAATACATTAAGACATCAGTTTGGCAGATGTCTGATGTACCATCAATCCAATTTCTGGAATATCCAGGAAAATTGCAATATGCAGCATATGAAGAGCCTGAAACGGTTTCTACTTCATAATTTAAAAAGAGGCAGGTCCCCAAAACAATAGCCTTAAGCACCTAGCTCCTCCTAATTTGCAATCTGGCTGCTAGCAAAAGGTCCTGACTGTGAATTGCTTTCCCCTCCATTAGCAAAAAGGGTAAGAGTATCTTCTTCCATTGTAGTGCATTAAGGAAAGTTTTCAATGGTGTGTAACTTTTACTTACTAGCAATAACTGCATTAAATGAGAAATTAAATATTACAGTATGTGGACATACTCACTTGCACAGCATATGAGATAGCCAGCCCAGCATATGCAGGAGGAATCTGGCCATGCATTAAGACAATCATAAGGCCAGTGGTTGTGATAAGAGCAATGCTGATAACGTCCAGCCGTACAGCTAGCCAGCGCATTGCACAGCTGAACAGGTAAAACGGTGCCTGATTGTCATCTAGGAGCTCCTGATACCTGAAACAAATACAGGAAAGGTTAGTAGACCTCCATGAGCCTGATGTTCTACAAATAGCAGAGCTACTTAAATCCCTGTTCCAGTATCAGAATTCAGGGTGGGAAGACTAGTCCATCACTGTGGAAGTCTCAAACTAGGCCATGAAAGCAAGGTTTACAAACTTTCCTGAATAATGTCAGATACCTACTTAGCTCAAACTCTCAGAAGTCAAATTACTGAGTTTCTGTGTACAACAGCAAATTATACTGGGAGTGAATCAAAATTCAGGGACATTACACACACTTTCACCACAACTTCACCTATGCAAGACCTCCCAGAGGATGCTCAATGGCTACAAATTACTCCATGGGTAACAGCAGCAGTGCTTCAGAATATGTACAGAATATATACTTTTACACTTGTGTATAAAATAGCAAAGCTACACTAAGTTTTGACAGGACTGGTGACACTGATTAAAACACATCTATAACCATTTAATTTACAATCCTGACACTGCGGAGCTGAGAAAGTTATTTGGGGGGAGACACTTGAGAGATTCACAAAGCCAGTAACTAGATTTTCTGATTGTGCAACTCAAGTTTTACACCAATCGCTGTTGCACAGCGTGGACAGTCCTTAGTGCTCTAGCAGCAGCAATGCTAAGGGACTGCTATTAGCACCTCTGCAACTTTTCATCTAAGCTGGTGTAGCAGTGTCTTTCCAGAGCTTCTGTGGCAATTTTCCCTGTGCTCCCACGCTGTTGGTCTTATGACCTTGCACCTGCAAAACCCCGATATTGTTATGGCAGGTTCTCATGGGAAGCAACTACCACTCACATGAGTAATGTTTCACTTTCCCTCACTAACATTTGTTTTGCAGATTTTAGTTTATACTAGAGAAAACTAAGCATAGTGCACAACAAGGTGGCTAACAGTCACTTAAATACTTGATAAATGCTATCCAATTATACATGTGCACAGAGACTAACAAGCTCATCAATATGCACACTGAGGTTTTGTTAGCATGCTCTAACCAACGCTAATACCATCACAAGGAGAAACAACCAATAGAAAGTATGATCAGGACCTGATGAAAAGTATATACTACTAGGGAAAAAGTATGGCCAAAAAGTTGCCCTCACCATTATCATTGCCACCTGCTGCACTGCAGAGAACTCCAGAGGAGGGCATTCACCTGGGACTCTATCACTGTTCTTCCCCATTGGCTACTGGGGAGTTTTCCCTTTCCTTTCTCCTTCTTGTTCTCCCTCATTTTTTCCCCCCGAAAAGTACCTTTCACTCTTAGAGCCAATGTATGCCATCAGCTATAGATCCCATTAATAAATCCTTCTGAATGTAAACCTGTTGCACCCTGCTTTGTGCTCCACCACTCTCAGATGGGTATCTAGACTGACCTGTGCAGAAATTCCTGTCCCTTGTGGTAGGCATGGATTGTGGAAAGACCCTGTATGCTAGACGTAATGTGAGACAGGAATGGAGACTGTGTGATGTTGTCCAGACGCTTGAGCTCTCGAATAAAGACTCTGGAAGGAAAGAAGCACTTTTAAGCAACACGTACAACCACCATATGCCAACCACTACATTGATGCATATATACTTGAAGAACCCTATGTCCTTAATAAGCGGTCAAAGTATCTCTACTTTTAGTCAAAGCAGCTGATGCACTTACCTAGACACAACATGCAGAACGGTGAACAGGACAATGAGGGGCCCCACTGCCACCAGGAACCAGGGGAAAACCCCAGAAATCACTCCCACACAGAAGAACACAAGGATGACATTCTGGATGAACATTTCTGCTTGAAATGGCAAACGAACATCAACTGGAAAAGATGGAAGGAAAAGAGGAAGATCTTGAGTACAGAAAGCTAAAATAACCTATACAAAGCAATTCAGTCTAGCTGTACATCATCATTGACAAGGACAGTGATTTCTCATGGCTTACTCAAATTAAAAATGTACATTTTCATTAAGGGTGCTTTTATCTTTTGAGATGCTAGTAGTCTTTCCAATTATTCCCATTTACAGAAATAGCACTAATGCAACTCTGACCTAATTACCACCTTTGCTGCACATCAGCTTCACCCTGATACTCTAGGTTCCCCCTGCATTAACTGCTAAAAGTCCATGTGCAGTTTGTAGGTACAAAAGCAGCTGCACATTTTCTTCTTTCTAAGTGAACGGACAGACTCAAGGTATCAGCTGCCTTCCAGAATCATAACCCAGGTACGTCCCAATTCTTGCTTTGCCTATTACAAGTACACATTTGGCAAGGGATATAGGGTACAATCATCCCAACAGCAAGAGACTGGAGAGTATTAAGGAGTTAACTGAGAGGTCTGAATGTGGGATCTGCAGCGCATACAGTGAGAGATACCTTCATCCATGTCTTTGGAAAACCTGTTGAGAATCCGCCCAGTGGGTGTAGTGTCAAAGAACTTCATGGGGCTACGAAGAATCCGTCGGAAGAGTTCATCATGGAGCCTCGAGGATGCTCTGAGAGTTCCCTGACAATGCAGAAGACGTTGCAGCGTTATGAAAGGATGTTTGCCTTCCTGTCACTGCTCATTGCCTGGGCACCAAAACATTCTGCTTATTTTCTCTCTCCAACCATAAGGGTTTTTTTCTTACATTCTGTGCTTCCAACCAGTGGAAGGAAGCTATTAATTTGGGAAGAAGTTTAACAGAAAGCATGGTGCAGCCCCAAGAGGTGACTTATGGAAACGTCACGATCCGTGATCAGACTTCCTCTGGTTCAAAAGTCTCTCTTGGGAGGTGACCAAAAGAACCATGGTGACAGCAATCAATATGCAGAAGTAGGGGGTGGGGGGGATAAGAAAAACAGCAGGATTGGCACATACCTTTACAAAGACAACGCCACGAACAGCTTTCAGGATCAACATAACTGCCATAGACAGTGCATAGATGCCAGCATAGTAATGCATGTGAGGGTTATCTTTCATACTGTTGCTTATGACAGTATCATTTCCCAAAGTCACAGTGGTGTTCTGCAGAAAATTCAAGGTTTCAGTGAATCGTTAGTAAGACAAGCATTAAGCATGTACACGTTACACATGGTAGAATTTAACTGTCCTCTGTCCCCTCCCACCATCTTTGATATTTCTTCAAATAAAGTACTTCAATGATCTTTGAATACTTCAGAAAGTTTTCCCTAGCAGAGATACTCGACATGCAGATTTGTAGCCCTTGGCCTTTTTCCTACGATATCTTTGAAAATACTACCACAATACCTACTTCATTTGATTCCTAATCTCTCATTTCATGTTTATCATTTCTTGTGTTCTTCTGAACAATGCCAGATACTTGCATACCACCACTCCTATTACACAGCACTATTCACCTTGGATAAGAAGACAATGTACAACCTATCAAACATGGTTGTTATTTTCTGTCAGTATGCAGTAAATTCTTTACTGTCACACTGTTGTACATTCTCATTCTCTCTTTTTTTTTTTTAAATCTTTAAGTATGTTTAAGGACCTCATTGCTTATTTTAATATTGTTGGCCATCTGCACTTCATTATTTCCTCTCTGAGATTAGTAGTTTGCTCCCCCAGCCAAAAAAAAAATCTTGCAGTTATATTTGAATCTTTAAATGGAATAAGACTTGCAATCAAAGCCCCTAGCATGGGAAAAGTCCCAAACCATCCTAGGTCATCACAGTCTTCAAAGCAACTCCCAAAAGTCATTTGACTTAAAGCCATATACTTTAACAAGATTATCCTGTTAGATGTAAGGTCACATTCAAACAAAAAACAGCACTAAAATTAGTAAGTCCTCCTGCAGCTTGTTGGCCCCTTTCACATTTTCACTTCTTTTTCTTAGACTAACCAAGATAAGGAACAAGAGGGCAGTATAAAACCAGATGAGCTATTATATGTTTCTTATTAGTGGAGCTCTCTCATTCTTGGAGATAAACTCTCTAGTGAGATCATCTCCTGGGGAGCCTTACAACTTGCTTAAATTAGGAAGCACCATTTGGTCTCATAGGACTGCTTGGGATTAGTCTAGGAGAGCAATCCCCCTGCCCGTTAGACACAAGAGAGTAGAAAAGCTATTTATCTTACTCCACTGCCTTGCTTGATCCAGAAACTCAGCCACCAGTTGCTAAAAGCTGTACTGCCCACATTCAGCACAAACAGTGCCATGATGATGAGGAATGCAAAGGGGCCTCCAGCTGCCTGAATGTAGATACCATAAACAGACCAGGGGACAGAGCCTTTGCCTTTCTCTTCCAACTGGACCAACTGGCCTGTGAAACAAAAGAGGAGGGAGTGAGGAAGAGAAAGCTGTTCCATGAAACTTCTGTAAGTTTGAACACACACGAAACTACAGTCATTTTCAAACTGTACAGAATACTTTCAGAAACAGAGACATTGCTTAATATGTAGAACTCAATGGTTCAAGCAGTTTTTCAAAAAGTCACATTTCCTCTGCAGAATCATTCACATCATGGTATGTCTGAAAAAGCATAATCAGCACAGACTTAAATACTAGGCTGGTATCAGCCTCACTATTGCTTTTTAAACCCTGCTGAAGTTCAGAGTTAACATTAAACAGAGCGAACCACAAAACAGAGGTCAGATCTTCCAATTCTTCATACATAAATGCCATGTCCTGCCTAGGACTCTGCAAGTACTAAGCTATACACATTGCCCTCTTAGGATAGGAGGGAGAGGTGGTGTGGGAGAAAAGATACTACAAGTTCCTTTGTGCCGATGGCATTTGACCAGTGGCAGCCTGATTGAACTGTGCAGGAACCCATATTTAATGAATTAATGAATGTTCTTTGCCCACTGCCTGTGTCCTATCAACCACACTGAGTGACCAGGACTTGAGACAGCTTTCAAAACCTGAGAGGTATATTCAAAATATACTTTGAAAGCAAATGTTTTGAGCTTGTTGGTGTTTAAGATAATTACAGCCAGAAATCTGATTACATAGTTACCCTCTTCCTTCTTTACAACTTTCTCCTTCTTCACAGACCCTGTTTTGGTACTTTTATCCTGGGGTCTTTTCAGTGAACTGTTTGTGTTCTTCTTTATATTAATCTGCAGGAAAACAATGACACTAAACATACCGGAGTAATTTGCTTTGACATTTTCATATCTGAACCCAAACTTTTTATAAGCTGCCTCCTAAGAACAAAGGCTTTCAACAGCTTAGCATTCATATCAAGGAGGATATTAACTTTGCTGTTATTATGGATGACTGCCAACTCTGGTGGATTAAATTCTCCTCTATTAATCTGAACTGCTACCAATCTGTACTGGTAGTGTGCAAGATTGATTTCCAGAATCAGTGACACTATGTGCATACATGGTAGAGGAACAACACCCGTACTGCTGAGAGAAAGATACAATCCCCCTGTCCCTTGCAAAAATAACTCCATTTTATTAAGAGGCTTTTTTTCCCTCAAAACGCCCTAGTACTTCACTCAGGAAAGCTCTCATGAAATGCCTCTAAGGATGAAGTCAGGTTAACTTGGTCTTCAAGAAATCAAACGTCCAAACACTAAACTGCACACACAGCTACTGTTCTAAACCCAGCCATCTTCCCACAAATGGAAGTTACTACCTGTTCAGAGACAGCCTACATTAATTGAAACCCCCTACACAGCATCTTCGGGGTCCTCTTCCCACACTTTAAGTGAGAAGAGACATCTCACACATGTCAAACCACAGAGAATCTAACTTTACCATTCATTTCTTCTAATGCCATCGGCAATGCAAATTAATGCTCCTTCCATGAGCTAGTGTTTACAGAGAGACAGTGAAGGTCAGCCAAGCATGCAGACTGGAGAATGTCATGTTAACTGTCATTACATTAATCTTAAAATGGCAGAACTATAATCTTCATGCCTCAGAAAGGATATGCAGAGTAATGCATTATATTCTTTTGCTTCTTTCACTAACATCTCCCAGGAGAAAATTTCACCAAGCACCTCTATATCTGTGTATTTGTCATAATGCTACCTTTTCAGAATTTTTTTTTTTTTAAATGTCTGCAACTTGTGAATAAGGAGCCTCTCATCTCTTAAAAAATAAACTGCTGATGTGCTTTTTTAATCTCTTCTTACTACGAGAACACACACACAACACTTAGAGAAGTAAATCATCATCAAATAAAAAGCAAAGTTGCTTACTCCAAAGAATAACTTCAGGAAACAAACAAGAGAAAGGTGGGAAAAATTAAATTGCTGAAAATTTAAATGCACGTCCTACTGAACGGTTCTTGTTATTTTCTACATTTACATTTTTTCCACCGACTAAAACAATAGAGCACAAATCCAAGTTTGCATTTACAGCCATTGTTTCAGAACAGAAGCAGTGTCAAGCAACAATTCTTTTTCTCAAAACTGCCCAAAACAAAGCATTTTCAGTTACATTTCCAAAAAACTGTCACATCTAAAGTTGTATCACTTTTCCTGTGCCTCAGTCACACCCTATGTGAAAAAGTAGTAACAAACCAGTAAGAATTTTCTCAGACAAATGTTGGTCCAGGTCTGTGCTAATTTGGAGGTAAATTAAGAAGTGAGGTATACAATAAAAGAGACAACAAGCTTCCTGCTCTGAGCATCACCAGAGGAGACGATACATTACTTTTATGTTCAACTCATGAGCTCATTGGCAGTGTTCTCTCTACTACATGTTCCCTAAATACCAACTGTAACTGCAAATAGGAAGTACTAACGAAGCACAGATTATTCTACAGGAAATCTATTGGTCAGAACAACACATGAACATGTGAAGCCATTTTCCAGTCTTCCGACTATGTCATTTGGTTCATCTCATCAGAAAAGTCATCATTCAGAGCACTTTAAAATAAACAAATACCTCAATATGTGGTGTTTCTCCCAGCTGCAGGTTATTAAAAATAGTTGCATAGTCCCCATTTAAGTTCATCAGTTCCTCATGACTTCCTCGCTCAGTAATGCAGCCTTCTTTCATGAAGATCACTTCATCACAGTCAACGAGATACTGGAGAAAATGGCAGTAAGAACAAGTCTTTATCATTATGTCTGATAATCAGACACACTCCCACACAATTTTTTTCAGTAATTTATAAACATTTGCACAGAACACACCTCTTCCAAAGTAACAGACATCTGATTTTTAAAGATCCTGTATTGACTAGAGCACCATGATTAGTCTCACTGTACACAAATAAAAAGTTTTTATGTTCTATCAAAACCAATCTGTTATGGAAGACAATTCAGGATACTTAAACACTGCAAATACTGATATACTAAGTATTAACATTTCTATGCACAGAAGATAGCAAAAAAAAAACCAAACCTCAGAATACATCCATTCTTATTTACTGACACCAAATCTAAGTTTTCCTGATGCGATGAACTAGCTTTATACCAAGTTAGCAAAAGTGGTTTTGAACAAGGTATTTACTTCTCTGGTAAATTTTCTTTAGCCCAGTGTTACCAGTCCAGATCAGATACCAAGCAGCACTGGTATCAAAGAATTAGACTGTGGACTGTGCTCGGTGTGTATTTGCAAACCTAGTTTGTGAACATAAATCATGCATCCTATAGACAGACAGGGTTGTGCTGTAACAGGGCAGGGCATAGAAATTTCCAGTATGAAGGCAACTGATTAAACAGTATTTCAAGGAAGTCCAAGAAAGAAAGCATGAGAGATGTATTACCTGAAGCTGATGAGTGATGAAAAGGACAGTCTTTGACTTCAGGTGCTTCCTTATTGCACTGTTAAAAATGTGATTTCCAACATGAGCATCTAAGGCACTAAGGGGATCATCAAGGATGTAAATGCTCCTGTCACTGTACAGCGCTCGAGCCAGACTGATTCTCTGACGCTGCCCTCCACTCAGGTTAGCCCCTCGTTCACCAATCTGTACAGACACACACCCGTTACTTTATTTCTACAGCACCAAGCAACACAGCTATTCAGAGCTCAAGAGGTGACCGGAATGAAGCAGACCATAATATTTTTATTTTTATATATATACACACACACACCCACTATAATATTATATATTGTTTTAATACATATATATATTCTAGCTTAGGTGTCCACTTCTTTGCGAAATGTGTTATACATTCAAACTCAAGGTTAATGTGCTTGAAATGTGGCAGTACTTTTTTGCTTATTTTACTTTTTTTGTATTAACATAGCCATGCTTTTTTCTTAGCTATTTTAAATCAAGTTCAAATAGGTCCTGTTAAGGCAGCTAAATTTACAACACAAAAAACTCCCAAATTGTCAACATCTGAGTCAAAAACATGGCACAACTCTCAATAGCCCAGGGCCTGCATCGATAAGCTCAGCTGCATCAATAAGCTCAGCTCAAGAAGGTGCATTCAACAGCTTGGCTTATATACATACCAGACTCATGTTCCCTTCACTCCAGTCTAGTCTACCAAACCAAAACTCTACTTTTCTCCATCTAATAATTAGTCTACTATAAGCAAAATTTATACCTCTGTCAGGTCCCCATTTGGAAGGATGGCTAGGTCAGGCCTTAGACAGCAACCATTCAACACCGTGTTGTATCTAAAGAACAATTAGATATGTAGTAAGAACACTGTTTTTTTCCCCCCCAAGTATCTAGCTAGTACAGCATTATCCCACTTTCTACACTAGTAGCAGACATTCCAGCAGCCTAAAACAAATGACCTGCCTTGGATTCTCAGGAGGAAACTGAGGATAATAATTAATCACCTTCTTCTGAAGTACAGTGAAGGTAAGGAGGCAATTTCTTTCCAGGGATAGCTAGCACAGGCCACAGGGAAGGCCCCCACTGGGGAGGGCCATGGAAGGTGCCAGTACATTGCGAACAGCAGTTGTTGTTTTTAAATAGGGCAAGGCCAGGACAGCAAGAGCAAATGCCACTTCATTGCTGCTCCACAGCAGCTGCTAAAAACAGAGATCAGACAGTACCCCAGCATGAGGTACAGCCCTCACTGCAAATGAGCAATGACAGACGCACTGACAGCTATCAGCCACAGTGAACGTGCAGGAGAGGCAGGCTCTTAAATGAGACTTAAAGGAGTCTTAAAGACAGACTCTAAAAGGATACATAGGCTTTAACTGCAGTGTACTCTGCATTAAATTTTCCCACACTTGGGCCAAGAATTACTAAGCTTTCATGAAAATCAGCAAACAGTTCTGACAAACCTTTCTTCATCATATTCCTTGCCAAAAAGAATGTTGTCCCGAAGTGTAGCATTGAGAATCCAGGCCTGCTGGGCTACATATGCAAATGTTCCACTTACTGCAATGCTACCCTCCAACAGGGTCATCTGAAATTAAAGATAAACTGTGAAATTATGCTATTCCATGTTTAGAATAGACTTTCTTCTACAGAGTACAAATAAGTGAAATAGGAGATAGGAAAGAGAAGAGCAGAAGTAGTCAAAACAGAATTTCTCACCTGTCCTAAAATTGCTGAGATAAGTGAAGTTTTTCCACTCCCCACACTGCCACAAATTCCAACAAGTTTTCCCTAGACAGAAAAAAAAAAAAATTATGGTACTCATTTCTTACATTCTCCATCCCTTTCAGAATTTGGACTACCTTTAGTACCTCCGAGGGGACAGTTGGACATTAATGACAGCTGAAAAGGGACATAACAGACAAAAAAAGCAAGACAGTCAGTATTTTAACTCTCAAATAATAAAGAGTGAATACTATCTCACAGTGGACTAAAACTAAATCAACTCTACAGGTAAAAATGAATGTATTTTAAGATTAGCTTCCCTTTGACTAGGCCTGATACAGGCCCAGAGAATGCTGCACTCAGCCAAAAGCACCAAGGCCTGCCTGAACATAACACACCAAGATGCTTTCGAGAGTGGTAAGGAAAGATATAAAGAAGGAAAGACTGAAAGAAAAGTAGAATTTAGGATACATGGGTCCAGTAAAACTCCTTGCCTATGAGATGCAGTTTGCTAAGGAACATGTACCAAGAAAGGCTAGAATCTAGTCACTTTGAAGCATTTCTCTGCAATAAAATGGGTGGGTTGATACCCACATTACACAATGAATTCATCAAAACCATTTTTGTTCCTTTTGTAAAAAAAAAAAAAAAGGTAAAGTAGACAAAAAGGGTATATAGCCACTTGTGGAACACATTGCTGGCCTCCTCTCGTTTACAAGCTTCTGATAGAAAACTAGCCTTTACATTTTCAAGTAACTGTGTACTCCTTTTTCAAGGCTATTTTTTTAAACTATATGCATCCTTCTCAAAAGTTCTAAACTATAAAAAAGACCTATATTTTAAAGAGTTTAAACTTTCCCTCTATTCATATGACTATAGGAGACAATTTAACCATAAATATCTCGATAAATGCATGGATCCCATTACTACAACTTCCAACTGCCAGACTGCAAAACTTTTGTATTTGTAGCAGATGTCATGTACTAAGTTCAATGCTTTTTCTTTGACATTTTACATGTTTTTACCTATCTTGGAATGAGAACTCCAACTGCTTCTAAATTCTTGAAAATTTGTGTGTCCTACTGCACAAAAATTCTCAGGGAAGGAAATTGCACATTCTTCAATGAAAAACACTGTTATGATCCATTAGAACACCTAATCACCTAAAATGTTCACCCAGAATATAGATGAAACCCTGCAAAATTATCCAACGGCTGCAGGAATACACCACCCACCAACACCGCACTGATACCCCTTTTGCCCTGCTGATTCTTTACGCTTAATGGCTCATATACTGTACTGAGAGCTACAAACAGAAAAACCATCAGTTAGATGTGAAAGCTATACAACCTGCAGTTGTTTCATAGGCTGTTTGCAAAGATCTAGTTTGCTAAAATGGCACAGTTGTTTACATCAAGATCAGACACTGCATCCTGGATACTGCAGTTGCCATGGATATTACAGGAGTGCACAAAAGCAATATGCTCCATTTCATGCAAAAATACACAGCTCTCTATTCTAAGAGACAGGTAAAAATGAGGCCTTTTGAAAGCTCAGATTTCCTCCTTTCTTCTCCTACCTTTTCTATCTCCAAGTCAATGTTGTAGAGAGTCCTCTGAAGCCGAAGGTTAACCAGGTGGATGATTTTGTTCTCCTCTTCGGGGCTAGGATGGTCATCATTGTCCACTAGAAGATGGCCCTTCTGCTCTGCCAGCACAGCTTGCTGTCCCTCATTCTGCAGCTTCATTTTCTCTTTCTTGCCCTTGGTGACTTTCTTGTCTTTTTTCACTTTGGGGGTCAACTTTGGTGAGCTCTGGACGCTGGCGTGGGAGAAGTCCCAAGCCAAGGTAGCATTTTTCACCTCTATCGCGGTGTGAGGATTGGCTGGTTTTTTCTTTATCATATGAACCTCTTCCATTAGAAATAAACTCTGATAGGAGTTGTGAGAGAGGTGTAAAGATGAGACACCTGATCAAGACTGGGAGACAAGCCTATGGCACACTCACGCAGCAAAACACATCAGGCTATATAGTAGGAGGAAGCTGAAGAGCAAAAGGTAGCTCATTAGTGTAAACTAACTCCAGGCCTTCTAAGTGGCCGGGGCATTCCTGGATGTGGTGGAAGCACCTAGATACACTAAGACTTTTACAGAACTGCAATACTCTGGGATGCGATATGAGAGGGACTTACTCTTTTAACACTGTTTGCAACTGCAGCTCTGTAATTTCCAGATTAAAAACACATGAGTAGAATTCATGGATTGGAGAGGAGAGGTCACTTTGAGGGAAAGTGACTGACTTGTCCTGCACACCAACGCATTATGGAAGGAGACAGAATGACTTTTAACTTCAGCCTTTACCCTTCAACTTCTCTGCTGGGAAAAAGTCATCTCACACAAATTTAGCTGACCTATCTTGGTCTGCTTGACTATAAGAAGTAAGCCATTAAGTCCATTGTATCATGTTTTCCACCACATCCATCAGTATTTACAATCAACACAGATTAGGAAGAGATTTTTCACACAGTTTAATTACAACATAAAATGTTTTCCACTTACATTATTTATGTTTTGAACTAAGAAGCCTTTTGCGATTAAAGACTTCTCAATTCTCAGCCTTATTTACTCTTGCAATTGCTATGCCCGAATCATACATTCATAAGAAAGCTCATACTCAGTTACAGAGCCAAAGTCAGTTACATTTTTACTGTGATGTTAGTTTCCCGACCTTATGTTAAAAACCCTACACAGATTACACTGTTTACAGACAAACTGGGAGATATGACAATTTCTCCTCTCCTTATTTTCCCCCTCAAAACTCCCTTCAGTGCATTTGGATTTAAGAAAGCCTGATTTAGGGTGACTCAGAAGAAGAAACAAAAACGCTCAAAAGCAATGGGATCTCAAAACCATTCTGCAGATCCCATTCTTCTCACACCCAGATTTGTTTCATGAATGCATTACACAGAATCCTTGTATCTGTGGAGATTATATATAGTGGATACATATACTGTGGAATCCTATCTGGAAATTTCTGCAATGTGCAATGCACTATTGTCTTCAAGAAAGAAGACAAAATAAAGGCCTGTCCTCTGAGTTCATACTAAAATATACACAGTGTATTCACTTCACAGAGATTGAAGGATGAGATAGGATTGTTATAAGGGTTTTAATTTTCTGCCATAGATTCTGTTTTGTCAGATCACAACTGCATTTTATTCATATAGTGGAGTTTCAGTCACTTAATCTGGTCTGGAAATACAAAACCTAAGTTTTTCATGACTACAGATAAAACTCTACTGGTTTCTGCAAAGCTGCCTATATAATACATGACATTTCCAAAAAGAGTTTCATTAGCAAAACATGAAATTTCATTGCAGACATGTCTCACTGTCTTTTCATGCAGATGGTCTTAAAAGGGAGTTTAAGAATTATTATACTGTGAGCCATCTAGTCCTGTATTCTATCTCTTACAGTGGCCAACATCAAAATCCTAAAATCATTAAATAAGAATATTTTGCTTCCCACACTGGTATTATCTTAAGCTTCTAATATTCCTTCACTAGATTTGTATCTCTTTTGCAGAATCCAATAATCTGGAGTGCTAAGCGTAAAGAAAAAGAACTCCTCAGTCATCAAGACAACATTACCTTCCAGTGTTCCCTTAGCATCTATTATACACGTACAACAACACTCCACGCTTACAGTTAAAACTGCAAGGCCAAATGACTGCTTACCTTAAATCTGTCAACAGAAACAGATGCCTCAGATAGAGACTTCACTGAGAAAGGTGTTACTTTCAGAGCAAAAGTCATTGAATTAAAGACAGTGACCACTGTGAATGCCTAAAATGAGACAAGAAAGAGAATCACATTTGGATGCAATATACTAACAACTCCAACCTTCTAAAAGCTGAAATGTCACAGCAGCAATTCAAAGCCACAGAAAAGGCCCACAGTCCAAGAATAACCATTTAAATATTCAACATATTCTCAAACAGCAGAAAACAGCAGATCTACCCAACTCTTTCTCCAGTGCTTTGTAACAGACCAAGACAGACATCTTCAGTGTTTGTAGGTCTACCGAAAGCAGCAGCTAGCAAATTCTGCATTAGCCTATTACTTGTGAAGACCAAAGTTCAAATCCCGTTGTAAGACATTTGTGCTGTTTGCATCCAAGCACACTGTAAAACAAAAACATCCAGTAATCCCAGTGCCCTATCTGAATAGCAAACAGGAGTGCTCGTTTACATTCAGCTCAAAACCTGTTCTGGGGAAGGTCAGGACTAAAACAGCACGGAGAGCTTTTTGTGCAAAATGTAAGACTACATCTGCTGCTGTCACACCCATCAGATGTTCACTTCTGTGAGCAAGGCTACAGCCTGGCCACACAGGCACAGCCACAAAGCAAAGAATATGATGAAGAGAAACGGCTTAGCAGAAAAGCTACTGTAGCAACATTGTAAAGATTTTCAACGCTGCAGTAAGTTACCTGAGCTGCTGTAAGATCGTAGCCAAGGATCATATGGACAGAAAAGGTCACCACGCTGGCAATGACTACAACTATGGGAGCCACACCCACAGTGATGCTCTGGAAGTAGCCCGCACGCTCTAAGATTTTACGTTCTTCCTCACGAATTTCTAGAAATATAAATAGGAGCACCACATTTGAAGTATGATTCGGGGGGGTACATATACAACAGACACTACCATAGCACTGTAAACACTGAGTAAGAGAGGCCTAACTCTACGCTTTAGCATTTATCACATTATATACCTTCTTATAAAGACCGCAGTTACAGAGGAACTATAATGGTCTGTAAATCTCCGTAAGAATAGAGGTCTTTTTACTTTATTTAAAAATGGAGCAGCCAGTGCATTTATTAAATGATAAAAAAATGGAACAAAATTTAAAAATTTAAAATTAGTGCCAAGCCACAAACTTCATTATGCTAGAAGGTGAAACTTTAGAAGCAGGTCTGTTTGTCCAACCCATCACACATAACAAATAGGAAGCCTGAAGGCTGAAAGTGTTATTACACTGCACGTACATCAACATCTATGGTACTAAGCTAGGAGGACACACCAGGGTACTAACCAATGGGGCATCTGCACAAAAGAAAAACATTTACAGATTGTGTGAACTCACTTTGAACATTCTGAGAAAATGGTTTGACCCAGGCATACATTTTAATGAACTTAATGTAATTAAGAACTTCATTCATCTTTTGCACACGCTCATCTGTTGTCGATACACATTTTCTTCTGAAATAAGCTGTGAGGCGCGATACAAACATCTGAAACAGAAGGCAACACCATGCAACATTAATGGCAACTCAGAAAGAACAAGTACATTCAACTCCTCCTAATTACCAAAGAAAGTCAATTTTGAATCTGAAAAAGGGATTCAGGGATGGGACAAGGCAACTGTTGTTCGAACATAAAAGTCAGGCTGGAAACACTATTCATAGCCTCCTGCCCCATCTCCACCAAGCACTTGACTCACCATAGCAAGTTTCAACAAAAATAAAATTTGTGAAAATAAAGGTGTGCGCTTCTACCAACATTGAATACTACCAGATTTGTTAAAGTTTCTGAAGCACAAAGACTACAAACACATTAACCTAAAGACACACCAAGTTGACCCTCGTGGCAAATGAACAGTAGAACCCATTTTAGCCAACCTTTTAACCTGGTCCCATAAGGCAAAAGAGCAAGCTGGACTTTGCACAGCCAGATCAATTTCTGCCATATGCCAGTGCTATGAAGGTGGTAAAACAGTTTTAACATTTTTACTAAACCAATCTAAAAATAATTAGTTGTTCACATATTTCTAAGAATCTGCTACTCTTACATTCATCCCATTCCTGGTCTGAAATTCAAAACCAACACACTACTTTAGGAAGTTTTCAGCTCCTTGCCCTTCTTCATACTCCTGCAGTCTCTTTTGGAGTCCCCATGAATAGAGAAGGGCTGCTGAAAAGAACTAGAAAAGATGATCAAACTCCACTCCTCGTTCCCCTCTTTAAAATACAATCCCCATTATTTTAATCTTTACTGTTGGCCCGATAAATTGGACCAAAGTGGACCTCACAGTATTCAGCCTCCGTGGTTTTTTAAAATTTGTATCATGAACACAGTCACAAATCTTCAGCAGCCTTACAAGGCATTTTGGAGGCAAGACAATTTTGGCTTGAACTATCCTATTTCACAGCTCAGCAGAAGTAGAGGCAGGAGTAACTAATCACAAACACCCTCTTCCCAGATGCGGTGCTTTTCAACACCTTTTGTTGAAATCAAGAGTGATGTGCTCATGCAACACTGAGCTCCTGTACACAAACTGGAGGCCTTGTGTCTTTCCAACCTCAACCACAAGCACCTGAGCAGTTTAATTTAGCTATGCATATTTATCTCAGTCAAATCTATCTGCTTTCCTCTTTCCATTTTCTAATTTTCTTTATCATTTTGAGCTTCCCGTTTCCAAATTTCTGCTTCATAAACCACCTTTAGGAACACCTTTAATAACATGCAGCGCCATAAACGGGCTAAATCTAGCACATTTCAACACCTTCTATTCAGAACTATACATATGTCTGACCTAATAAAAGTGAAGCAAGTCTTAACTCTTTCCAACTCACCATTGCTGGGTAGAAAAGGATGAAGACAGCAGAGCCCAAGAAGCCTGTTGGACCCAGAATAATCACATTATAAACCATTCCTAAGATGGCCACAATAGGGCCCCCAGCCAACAAACTGCCAACTGCTGCAGCTTCAAACATCCTTTGACCATCATTGGAACATACATTTATGAGCTGAAAAATACACATAACAGATTATTTAGATTTAAGGCACAGCTCATTCTCAAAGGAATATATTGCATATCCCTTTTCACACTGCAATTTCCAAAATGATGCTGCAGCTTACCTCTCCAAGAGACTTCTCCTTGATGTTCTTCAGCTTAAGAATTTTCTTAAATGCCATTGTCAAGATAGCTCCACGCAGTCTAACCCCCGTGCGGTAATTCAAAGCCCAGGTTAGCGCAAGGGACCAAGATCGCACTATTTCCGTCATAAAGATGCCAAAAACTAAAAACAAGCTGTACTGCAGGTTGGACTCACTCTGTTGGGTATACTCCAAAAGATGTTTCACAACGAACGCCTACAGGAAGAAATGCAAACTTGCATGAACACCCCATCATCCCAGAAGACCATGCAACAACTTTATGTTAAGTTAGAAATAAGTAGGCTACTTTGCTTTTAAAAGAGCCGTTTGAAATAGAAAGCATCTTCTTTCTAGAAGTAAAAGGTGTCAATACAAGAAGTACTGTAACACAAAGCCCTGCTGAGAGCCAAGCACTGAGTCAAATTTAGTAAGTAAAGAGAGTTCAATTTGGAACCATATTCCTCGCAGCACGCTTCTAATCCTCCGTGTCTTCTAACTTAACATAAATCTGTCAGTTAGCTGAAAGCAATGCATTATCATATAGAAGAGTTTTAAAATATAGTCACTACTTATACATCTGCACACATTAAGAAACATTCCTTTACGTGACATTAAGACCTTTTTTATTTTATCTTTGGTTTGCTTCAAACGTGCTTATTTGATAAAAAGGAACAATGTACCTACAGTTGTAGAGGGGAAGAGTGAGAAGGACATTTGCAAAACATTCCTGGAAATAAACATCAGCAGTTTAATAGTAAAGAAAAAAACAAGCAGAAAGCACAAGGTACGCAATACCACAAATCATTGGGGACAGGGGAGAAAAAAAAAAAAGAAAAAAAATTAACCATTCAATCCCTCCCCATACCCTCTCCCCTCAAAAACATAAACACTTTACCTCAGGAATCACATTTCAAACATCACCTGCAGAAAGAGGACAGCCCCCAGAACCACCGATTCCCACCTCCAGCTCTTTGTGGTCCAACGGCACAATATAACATCATACAACTCACAATCACCAGCAATATTAAATACTATTGACTGCAAAACAATAGGCTTTTATTTGAAATAAAGTGCCATCTTAAATGGTAACATCTCAAAAACACTGTACAACAGGTAGAGCATTGTATAAACATACAGTCTGCACATACAGGATAATTATAAAGGGCTAACATCTAACAGTCAGTCTTAGCCTCTAACATAAACTAGATTTGAAACTACACACAAAATTATAAAGATACAAAAACAGAACAGTGTTTGTTCATGAAGTCCAAAAGAAGTCAAACTTGCAGGTGCCAACAGAGGAGGCTTCTGAGGCTGCACAAATTCTGCAATCTGGTTTAAAAAGTATCCTACAGTAAGGCTTCACAGACAGCAAAAAACTTCCTAGAGAACTTTTCAACAAATGATGCTTTAAGATACTGGTGCTTTTGATATGCTAGTACAGAGCAGAGAATTACCTTTGCCCACAATAAAAAGCAACAAAAAAAAAAATCTGAGACCAAAGAAAATATTTGAGAAGCCTTTCACATCATAGTCCGTTGAAGTCCTCTTGGCTAAATCAGGTTTTGCAAATAAGAGTTCTGTATAGTTTGAAGAGAGAGCAAAAAAACAAAACCCCGCTACTTCAGCAAAGGTATTGATAGCTATAGCCCAGCACCAAACAACAGAAAAAAATGGAGATCAAATTCATCTGTTCTGAGGAAAATAATTCTGCATGTCAGAACCAAGGAAACATGCTGTAAATAATTTTGCTCTTTCTTTTTCACAGGTGTGAATTAAAGCCAGATGTCCATCAGGTTCTAGAATGGCCACTGAGAAAATTTACATACCAATCCCTGAACAAATGTGAGGAGCTCACATTCACAGATCTATTGCATTCCAACTTTCTCCTTACTTGGATTTAGTTTTACATTGACTGTTTGGACCACAACTGCATACAGTTGGTTTGCAGTTACTAAGGATATTACTGACTTCTTTTTCCAGTATTCAATCCAACATATGCAACCGAGTCCCTGAGCAATTGGGGTGAAAATCCCCCTTTTTCCTCATGAGCTGTAACTCAGCATGGTCGCAGACTGCAAGCATTTTCTCGCACACCACAGCATTGCTGAAAGTCTCCAAGAGAGGATGTATAAAGATAGCAGATGTTTCCTGGGGTCTCATTCCTCCCAAAACTTTAGTGCAATTTTTCAGCACTATTTTATAGATTCAGCATCTCCCATGATGAAATAGAGACCAGCTTACATTATACCCCCATTTTTTTTTTCCCGGAAGAAAGAAAAGAGGAAACAGCAGATTAAAGAATTTTGAAAAGGCAGGGGAAAAAAGTCATACAGAATTAACATTTACATCTGAACACATACTATTTGAATTCAAACTAGTTTAATGACAAGAATCCAGCATGAAGTTATTTACAAAACAAGAAAGTTACAGTACAAAAACTAAAACTCAAGCTAACGGGGGAAAAAGGAACTCCTGTGACTATTACCGTAGTAGTTGGTACTAGCTGCTCGGCTGTCTTAAGCATTCCCATTGAATAAACATTACCTTACCTTTGCTCTTGTCTCCCATGAGAAATAGAGACCAGCTTACATTATACCCCCATTTTTTTTTTCCGGAAGAAAGAAAAGAGGAAACAGCAGATTAAAGAATTTTGAAAAGGCAGGGGAAAAAAGTCATACAGAATTAACATTTACATCTGAACACATACTATTTGAATTCAAACTAGTTTAATGACAAGAATCCAGCATAAAGTTATTTACAAAACAAGAAAGTTACAGTACAAAAACTAAAACTCAAGCTAACGGGGGAAAAAGGAACTCCTGTGACTATTACCGTAGTAGTTGGTACTAGCTGCTCGGCTGTCTTAAGCATTCCCATTGAATAAACATTACCTTACCTTTGCTCTTGGCGTTGGCTCTGCCCAGCAGGACTGTCTCATTCTGACGCAGAAAACAGCCATCCTGAAAATTCTAAAGAACAGCTTCTGTCACTGGTCCCACTGCAGTGCCGGCATCCCTGCTGCAGCCAGCGTGCGACAGCACGGAGAGGCTGCAGCTGGAGCCAACTGGGAAATCGGGAAACTTACCTCCAATAGCTTACCACTCCCCCCTCCAATAACTGACCAAACTGTCAAGCTGTACTCCACTAAGATAGCAAGTTTCCCCATCTCCCAAACAGGAAGAATAGCTCTGAACAGTTGCAAACAGGTACATTGTTCAGACCTGGAGTTAAACTGATTGTGTTTAGTAATCAGAAGACTTCCTTACTCCTCAACCTGAACTTGAAAGTTTTGGTAGCTGATCAAATGGCAGCAAATATTCACTGGAGATAAATAGTATCTTACCTATACTAGTACATTCTGATGGTTATTACAAGGCAGTCTGACACATGCAGCTGTCTCACCAGGTTACGGGTTTGAATACTGTGCCAGATGCAGAATTTATCAAAATTAAAAAAAAGGAAGACCCTTGAAGGATCTATCTGATATAAAAAAAAACCCCACACAGGAAGTCTGCAACAACTCCTTTCCAGTTATAACCATCACAATGCTCATTAGCAAAGCCACAGCTGTTGGCTGGCATTTCAGGGTCACAGACATTCAATTAAAATTTTTGAAGTTTAATATAGTGTTTAACTCCATTTTTATAATTTTCACCAATACATGAGGTCAAGTCAAGTGCTTTTCCTGGTCTCCCTTTTCACCTTCAGGTGACTGAAAGTGTGTAACACCACAAGAAAGCACTGATACTTCTGAGGAGACAGCATAGGCATATCTATGAGGCATGCCATTTTTAAAAACAGGGAGGAGGGATGGTAAAGACTTGTTTTTCATGCCAAATGATGGAACCAAAAGGGGATTGTTCCTTATTCAGAGAAATGAATAAGGTTGCCTGTAAATGGGCAAATGTCTGTAGATAATTTTAAGTTACCCAAATCGAGCATCAATTGCAGCGGTAGCCCCCAGGCTAGTCAAGTTGGTTTGTTTTTCTCCTTCCCCTCCCGCTCTCTCATTCAGCGGTTTGGCTGAGACAAATTGAGAAAAATTACACTACAGAAATTAGGGGCAACCCTGCTGCAAGTTCTTTTCTAAAGATAAAAGCAGCTACTAAAGCCCTGTAGTGAAACAATGACAGAAGCTCTTCTTGGGGAAAGCTAGTGCTCTTAAAACCTTAATCATGATTTATTGTTAATTACCAAAGTATGTTCATATATTTTATAATACAAGCTACTATAAATTATTACCAAGAAAACAATACCACAGAAACATTTATTGTTATTCATATTACATGAAACAAGGCAAACTTTAAAAAGGCTTAAAAAGCAGAACATCATTTTGATAAGACATTTAAAAGCAGGAAAACGTTTTAAAAAGACATTTCACCTAACAGTGCACCCAAGAGTACTTACCCAAGAAATGAACCTTCAGCTTACCAGCACACTGAAACGTGTACTACTAGCAGTAATACTGCTCCTACTCCTCAAGGGAAATGTGTAGAGAATAAATTTAGTCAAAATTTCAACTGTAAATCTGCACAGCACGTGCAACAAACAGGTGACAAAAAATGGTGTGAATGTCAAGTCCCATATGTTGTTATCTTCATTACGACCCATAGCAACAAACAGCAGCAGTTCCTAGAGGCAATAACGTACTCTAACACTTCTACATGAAACCTGTCTGACCATTCTCTGTAGGATCAGTAAAGACTATACCCACAGACTTTTGAGACCTGCTCACATTAGTTTTTAAGTAGCGCTCTAATAAAATTGTTTCATTCCACTTCTTGAAGACTGTGCTATTAATGCCAATAATCTAAGATCAGTGTTTTATCAGACTGAATTTTATTCCAAGATAAATTTACAGAATTGCAAAAAGAAAAAGAAAACAATTAAAAGATCTGCACATAAGAATTTTATGCAAAAAGACCACATACCAGTTAAGGAAAACTTTAAACTATACTCAAAACCAAAGAGAAAAACCAAGTGTGCATTTCCTCCAAGATACCTAAACTCCCCTCCCTTCTCCAAGAACTTGCCTCGGTATTCAGCAACTGATCCACCAGCTGTAGGAAACCTATCTTGGATTATTGAATCACTCTGGAATTTTGCCCCAAAATTTCTAGCTAGTCAAAACATTTAAGTGATTCTTCAATGAAACCTTAAGATTTTACAGTTGGCCATGAGATGGAGCCCTCTGGGGTTGTTAAAAAAAGGATGGATATTACTTACTGGTCCACTAAAACCCGCGAGCTGCGTGATCATCAGACACACTATGGAAATGATGAGCCTGGTGCGGCAGAAAATCCACACAACCCTCCGGAGAGAAGCATCATCTGGCCCACTTTCTTTAAGTTCTTCCTGCCACAATCTCTCCAGTCTAATAAAAACAGAAGCCTCACATTATAAATTTTTCACCATGAGAGAAGGTACAATCTCATAGGTGGTACTTTCTGAAAATTCCAAGCACTTCCTAGCTCAGAGCAACAAAAATTAATAAATATCAAGAGAAATAAATACATGGTACATTCTGTGAGGTAAAGAGGAATATCTGCATCTTGAAATATCTATGTTGTGTTACTTCAACAGAAGAGAGGGATGAAAAACACAATGCCTTTTGCTTTGCCCAGAGTCTCCTTGGCAATCTTAATATACTGACTTGTCACAGTCTTTCCTTGCTTATCTGACAGAAGCGTTGTGGAGTCAAAACCTGAGAAAAATTCTCATTAGCCATAAAATGTTAGCCTGATCGCAAGATTTGACCCATATTCAAATCACCTTGCTACTGTCAGTATTATTTTTCATTATTTTAGAACAAGATTTTTTGCAGTGTAGCCTTGAGAAAGAACTTTGTTTTAATAAAAAAAGTTTAAAGACATGCAAAATGAGAAAAACAATTGCAAAACACTCCTGGAGACAGAATCCTCCAAGTTCACTGAAATCAGCAAGAGTATAGAAACCGTGCAGCAGGAGGAAGCGGTCTATGAAGGATAAAACTAAATTCCACTATTCTGAGAAAGGCAGAGCAAAATATCAGTGCTGCTTTTCTAGAGCAATACTGTATCGTTGCCTGTGAACTAAGGTATAAGAAAAAAGGATCAAGGAAATAATAAGGAACAAGATGTCTCTACCTTCTACAATTGACATCTGAAGACTCATGCCTTGATAAAGACCATACATCATCCATAAACAGTTCCCCTTTCTTGTACGCTCTGTGGGCCAAAGGAGTGAGCCAGGAGAAGGTCATGCAGGAGAAAAGCCCAGCATTATCAACAGGGTGCTGGTGTCTAAAAGAAGAATAATCACAAACAAATGAAAAAGGAAACAGAACTGTAAATCCCTGAGAAAAACAAAGCCGTGTCTCATTGAAAGTACTCAGAGTACCAAACGGCCCATGCCAGTCATACTTGCTAAACAAATTCTGATGTTTTCAGTTTCAGTCAGCAGACCTACAGCTGCAATCCTGCTTTGTGACTGGTTTGAAAAGCAAATGCTGTATCAGTTCTTTTGTAGCCTAAAGACTTACTTGGAAGTAGTCCGTATGGGTTTCAGCACATTCAGGCCATGGTGGTATTTGCCCTTGTGATGCTCTTCGTCCAGCATTCTCAGCTGGGAATGCACGGAGGTGTCCAGTGGCAGGCCCTCTGCCCGAGCAGCTGCTTCCAAGGCATCCTGGCATTCAATCTGCTTTTACGAGACAGACAGCAGAGTCAGAGTTCAAACGTCCATGACTCCTGACTCCAGCAACTTTGCCCCTCTTTCTTCTGTAAATTATTGCGCAACAGCAATCACCATCATTTAAATGTCTTATAGGACAGGCTTCAGCCTGGCAGCAAAGACATGGAAGGCAGCCATTCTAGATCTGCATTAGATCACTGCATTTGTAAAACAGATTAACACCAGTATTGTGCCTGTGCATTCAAAGGATAAATGGATAGACCAGACTAATCTTGCATCCTGCCACAGGAAATACGATAGAGAAAAATTACAAAATCAAGTACCTTTGACATCAGTTCAGGAAATCAATGACTGGCTTATGCGGTGAAATTAAGACATACACTCTTGATGAATTTACACCCTCTTAGTGTAATCTAGATATTTTTCTCCACAGCAAACTCAAATTATTTTCAGAATACTACTAAAGTCCCTTCTTCAAAAATACCTTGGATTAGATCAAAAAACAAATATGCATTAAGCAGAATTGTACTTTCTTTTATAACGTTTCCTGCTTTTTCTCTTTTTCCCTAAAGGGAACAAAGATGACAATTTTGTCTGCTCCTAGCCACACTTCTCAATGGCTCAGCAACTTTATTAACAACCACTTAAAAGGCAAGCCTTATCTCAGGGTACTTTTTCCACAGCCCTAGTGAAAGGCAGACCTAAATGCTAATCTAAGAGGAGAAAGGAAACAGCAATGATATGGAGTAGTCAAAATGTTGCAGAGTTCAAACAAGCCTTTAGATCAGAAGCTAGATGTGGTAAAACTGAGAAGATGAGCTTGCTATCTATACTTACAGAGGGCTCACTACTAGTTCTGCCAACTTAACGGACCGTTTATTGCAGTGCCACGTTACCTGTTTGTATTCTAATTTTTTGAAATGGAGCTACTTTGTGGAAAAAACTCAGTTCTGAGGTAAAAATCTTCCTGGCTGTCTCACAAACAGAGATACTACCTTTACCCTTATTAGTTGCCTTCCCAGAGCAAAGTTATTTTATTTCTTTGAAAACAGCAACTGTAAGTGCCTTGTAGCCTCCTAAAAACACAGGATCTGCAAAGCACTAAATGCATATCAGTAGCAGGCACTTGGTTCCTAACTTTGCTCATGTAATTTTTGTCAGAAATGCCACCATTTATCAGAGACTTCGTCTGTACTACATTAACATGTAAGCATGTAGCACATTAACACACCTAGCTTCCACTCATGTGAAGGACAAGAACAGGAAATTGATAATAGCATAAATCTGTCCTCTACTTATTTAACCAAAGTACTTAAATAGCGCCTAAGCATGTTGTCAACAATCCATGGTCCTGATCTCAAAAAACTTATTCACTAAACCTAAAGCTATGATGACAAAAGAAGACAGCAAAGTAAAAACAAAAGAACATTACAACATTATGACACATACAGTGAGTCAAAAATATGCAACACTTGAAATCTGAATTAAAAGACTTCTCACTCAATTTATATTAAATTACTGACTCACTACCGCCTTACTAAATCTACCCAAATCAGCATTAATAAGAGAACTGCCGAAGATGTCTCAAAGGACTCAGTAGTGGGGTGAAGTTCTGCACCACTACTTTTTTGGTTACAGCAGAGGAATTCATAGCTAGTTTGCTATGTTACCCTTTGCAAGAGCCCTAGGCAGATCTGTCCAAACACCCTACTGCTGATAACATGCTTGTCTGTAAGTGATGCCACAGGCTATATGCAGAATCATTGTTTTTCAGAGCACACAAAAAGTGCCTGTAAGTTTAAAAAAAAAAAAAAAGTCTTCCAAAACAAAAAAATATTGTATTTGTCAGCATAAAAGAAGTTTTTCACCACTTACAAACAAGAATAGCTTTTTCATAAGAAAGCACAATTGCAAGATACTGTATTTTTAGGCAGTCCAAAGATAATGTTCTTAAAACACGCACTGCAAAAAATAACTGAACTCTCCAGAGCTGCTCAACAGAATTCTCTCAGCAAAGGTGGAGAAGATGCATTGATAAAAGACTAGGGCACTGCCTTTGAAAGGCCTTTATAACATCTTGCCATATAGGCAAGTATAAGTGCAAACCCCTAGTCGAGAACATGGCTCATCTCCATCTTGGCAAGGTTGTCAAAATCCCACATGTACAACTATCAAGAAGCAAATGCATCACACTACTGTACAATTAAGATTCTAAGAAAGACCATACAGTTCTGTGTCACATTAGAAAATCTTCAAAGCATAGAGATTATCAAGAAGAAATGAGACTCCTAAGCAGTTCTACAATGCATTTCTAGAGCAAAAGACTGAAGTACGAAAACTAGCAACCACCCCAACACTGTTAATTTAGGTTTCTGAACCCCTATTTTTTTTTTCAGGTGTTCATCAGCTGGCAATATCCTGATTGCCTGCACTCATGTACAGTTTTCTTGGAAACTAAACCCTTGAAGAAGTCATTAGCAATGTCATATAACATGCTCCAGCACTGCTCTTGAAAGAAATGTCTAATAAATCATGGCTGCACTATCAAACAGAAATCAAACAGCACCTTTTCTAATTCAGCAACTTATTACTATACCAATACAAGCAATGAACCAGGTGATACAACAGTGTTGATAACTAAAGAAATGCTCACAGAAACAAAACAAGCCTAAATCAGATATCACTAACCAGAGAGGGGGGGAATCATTCAGACATTTCTTGAAAAACAGCAGCTCACTACTCAGCATCATCAAAAAGGCCAAAAAAAAAAAAATTAAGAATTGTTACAAAAGACACAAAGAATAAAGTAGGAAACATTACCGTACCACTTAAAAAATGTAGGGTTTGCCTCCTTTTTGAACACCAGTCAGTCCCCTGTCACTTCAGTTCAAAAAGGGTATTATACTTAAAATTACTTTCTGCGACCAATGAAAACAGTTGGAACAAGCATGAATTTAAGACTTTTCAGCTGGATAAAAGAGAGGAATAAAGATAAGGTACAGGTATTTGAGAGGTCCATAAAGTCATGAATGGCATGAAGAGGAGAACTAGGGAATGATCACCAACTGTTCTTACAACAAAAGAACTGGGGGCACTCAGTGAAATTAATGTTTTTCACACAAGGCATACTTAAATTTAGAATTCTCTGTTATAGGATGCTGTAAAGTTTAAATGCATAAATGGACTAAAAATGGGAGAATGAAACTCACATAGGATAAGCATATCATGGCTTATTAAATGCATGACAGAGGGCAATAGCAATCATTTACCCAGCATCTTATTAACAGCTGGTGGATTCCAAAAAAAGTTTCTGAAGCCATGGGCAGCTCCTAACAGAGGGCAATGGTTCTGCACTCCACATTTCATGAAGCTGTGGCACACCTGGGTGCAGGCTGATATGATTCAACAGATGAGTGGGAAAATTAACAGATGAAGAAAAGTTAAACTTTTAATCCTGAGGGCAATCCCTGAGAGTATGGAGAGTACTGAAGAAGTATCACTACATGTATGATCTTGTCTTGTTCTTTTACCTCCATGGCTAGCTCAGACAGGCAGAGAAAAAGAGAAGCATGGCTGGTACTGCTACCACAGAGCACACGTGCCCCACTGACTTTCTGCAACTTGAGAGCAACAAAACCCTACCAGCACCTGTTATCATTATTTCCTTGTCCAACAAATTGGTCATAGCAATGGTAAGCACATAAAGTAATGGGAGAGACAGAAAGACAACATGGTTGGTTAAAGACATGCCATGACAGAAAGTCTGGGCGAGGTGAGGAAAATAAGTTGTTTAAGGGCAAGGAAAAAGATTTCATCATTAAATTAGAGACAGCAGTACCAAATTCACAATCCACATACCAAGGCCATTGAGAAGGCCATGAAAATACAGAAAGTTTAGGAGCCAAGCTACAAAGCTGTCAAATATACATGATGTCAGAGGTAAGCAAGACAGAAGTTCCGTACAAAGCAAGAGGGGCATCAGGAACATTATGCAGAAAGGCAAACTCAAATATGTGAAACAGGACACTTCGGAAAGCCTGCTAAGCAGTCAACATGGGCATTTATCTCTGAGGATGGGGAGCAGGTGAAGAGAAAGGAGGCAGCTGTGTTGTATATGGGAAGGAAAAAAAAAAAAAAGATATCCTAGTCTTTCACACAGGCAATCTCATATTTAACAGAGAAGGTAGCAATTTATTGGTTTGACAACTGTAACATCAGATAATACCAAAACCAGACAAGCTTGGAGGCCAAGCAAAACAGATTTTTCTTTCCCTTACTCATCTTGCAGAGAAAGAATTTGAGGTGTATGCAGTCAACATTTGACCCAAACCCCACCCACCAAACAACTATTGTCTCCACTTCCATAAGGCAGAAATCTTCCAGGGCTCAGATCACTGCAGGGAAGAAGCTGCATCTCTTCTGGTCCTACTGCTACCTGACAGGAAACTAGAGCAGACACATAAAGGCTTCTTTTATTAATCCTTGCAGCTGATATAGAATACAAGAGCTACTGTGGTTGATTTACTATTATATAAAGTTAAAATTGTTTTATTTAAGTAGTAAAGATCTCTGACTTGGCAATGCTGCAGAACAGGAACTCCCACCTCTTGCATTTAGAAGGCAGAGCTCAGCAGGCCTCCTCACTCCTTTCTTCAAGTCTGCAGTAAGGAGAGGCAAATGGGAAACTAACAGACCAGCACAACAGAGCTCAGAACTAGGCAGGCATATAGTGAGAAGGAGAATTATATTATCACCAGTTCTGCTCAGCACTTAAAGCATTCTCCATATTACAACTCCAGGATGAAGAGCAATTTTAAAATATTTGAGACTTCATTAAAGGACTGGTATTGCAAAACAAGGTTAGTTATTAGTTTGTATGGGCTGGGGAAGAATAGGATCAACTGTTCCAGGTAGCTTAAGAGTAACTAAGCCAAAATAAAACAAGAGTCTAGGAAGAGATACTCTGAAGTTGTAATTACATCCTTCTTCCCAGAAATTCCTCTGAG